AATTGATTGAATTCTGTAACCAGTTATAGGAATTTCATTTGTATTAAATTTTATTATTTTTAAAACTAGACTCGAATAAAATTCCCTATAATTCAAGCAATATATACGAAAGTCACACACAATTTGATTACAAAAATTAAATTTTTCCACATTTTACCATTGAATGGCTTCGCGTACACTAAAAATGAATATTAATTAAAGCGATAAAAAACTATTTTTAATCTAATTATTGAACGAATGATTTGATCTGAATTTTTAATACTGGAATATTTGTTTGGTTTTATCTAAACGTTTGTTTCCCAAAAAGCGTCCAAATGTTGTTGAGAGCACTTAAACTAATTAACTTATTCTATATCTGTCTCGCATATCATGTGTACTCGTATGGCATCGCAATGACTGGTGGCGTATATGATGTGAAGGGTGTTTCTCCATCTATGACATCGATGAGGACGGCTTTATCACCACCGAAGAGATGGGAAACGTAATCAAAGCCATATTCAGGCGGCGCGGCCTAAGGCTCGACATTGAATCCAAAGTTCAAGAGATTTTTAACCGAATGGATGTCGTAAGTGATTGCCATTACTTGTGATTGTTATGCAGTCATCAATCACTTCAATATTACAATATTTCGCTTCACTTCAGACATATTTTTAAGATTGAGATTAATTAAGGGTTTGAATGAAATGGAAATTGAAATAACAAAATATAATATAAGGATTGAGTAATCAATTAATCACAGAAAATGTTAAATGTTTTACTTTTCAACATTTCTTCATACTTTAAGCGCTTCCTCTATAGCTATAGTGTATTCACAACAGAATATTCTGTTCGCAAATCAACAAAAATATCAATAACTGAGTTGTGAGTGAAAAAGCACTCAAAGCTTGGCGTCAAACAAAAAGTTTGATACACTTAACGACATATTAATAATTAAAATAAATTAATTGAAATTTTTTAATTACAGAATAAGGACGGAGTGCTCAGTAAAGAGGAGTTCATCCGTGGCTTCAAAACAGATCCACAAATACTAAGTGCTTTAGTGGCCGAACAGTGCTCTACGACTACTGACCAAACCGTTAGGAATAATAATAACGATAGAAATTCGCTGACAAAATGAAAATACAGAATATTCTGTAAACAACTTATTATAAAACAACACTAATTCTTATGAATACTTTCAACAAAATAATAATAACTTTTTATGTTTAATTAAATTCTCAATTAATATCACAATTATATTTAATTTTATTTATAAATTATTATAAAAAAGTAAACTATGATTACAAACATATAATTGTATAACAAATATATATACAAAATATATTCAAAAATAATTAAACACTGAATTAATAATGAAATGATTTTAAACACTTGTTATACCATTATTAAGATTATCGCACAAACACTTAACCATTGAATAAAATTTATTGATTTTATCAAAGTTTTGCGTCATCTTTTGGTTCGCCATTTCTATAATGTATTTAATGTAGTCTTCGGTCACAATCAGCCGCTGGTCACCAATGATGGGCACATCCAGTGAGTGACAGCCCCTGACGGCCACAATAATGCGGTCGCTTTTGCTGATTGTGAGACCGGAGTTACGGAAACCGCAGCCGACGGCCACAGCCAACAGCTGTTTGGCCGCCGACAGGCCGTCGGCGCACACGTGAAGTACAAACGGTTCCACTTTTATGGACGCAAATTGCGGCCGACTATCGGCGGCGGCGGTCGTATCGGTGTTGTTGTCGGTGACACTCTTCACGGCCTCCAACACGTCGTCCGCAACAACCAATTGGTGTGATATGAAGAGCCATTTGGCCGACGACTTCTTCAGCTGTCCGTCACCGCTATTGTCGGCCAAAACGGCGATTCTTCCCGAACACGAAGAAGTGGTGTAATAAACGCCACAATTATTCAACACTGATATCAACTCAACGATGGGCTCGTCTATCGATCCCTTAAGACT